TATGTAATATTCTATTTATCATATAATTGTATATGAAAGCAAATTATGTCGTAAAATACTTTTTTTTTTCTTGCTTTTACTATATAGAGATACCTCGAATGTGTTATTTTCACTTGTTAAAAAATCAACTTTACGAATTGGAGAAAAAAATATATATTCCACGGCAAAATTCTATACAATCAATAATCAACGTAACCTGGACACGGTGTGTGTTCTACGAAGTAGCTCTCGTTTATATATTCATAACATGGTGATTATAAAATTATCGAGCAAAAAATTACTAAGAAACTAAAATGGGATAGTTTTTCACAAAGCCGCCGTGCAACTGTCTGCGATTTAGTGCCTTGACTCTCCGCCTATCTCTCCGTTACTTGAACCTGGCACAATTAGAAATTTGCATGCAGTCTCTTTTCAACACAGAATTCAATAGATTTTTTAAAATCATCAAAAAATATTCATAATGATATTCATAATGTGACTCGGTACTTGACTCGGTATTCCAAAGTTTTTTGATTCACCTCTAAAATGGAGCTAAGAAAATTTCTCCTACTTAAATAAATTGCAACTCTGTTAAAATCATACATAAGAAAATACATCAAATGCTGGCCAGCAGGAATTTGGTAGCTTCCTTTATACTCCAGAACTGAAAGAAGGCTTGGATAGTCTTGGCCTGGAAGGCCATTGTCTCCCCAATAACATCGCGATATTATATTTTTTGGATTAAGCGGAAAAAAACGAAGCGACTGTCCGAAAAAAAATTTCCATCACCCCATTCTCAAACGAACTCTATGAAGAAGGGAATTTTAAACATAGTTGATAATTTCCAAATAACGTCCGAATCGCGAATCTGTAATCCAGCTTGTAAGTACATTAGTATTGGTGTTTTGGGGAATTCAGTTCGCTATGAATTAATCGAACGTCGATGGCGAATAACATTAAACTAACTACGCTTCCAAAATGATTTACAGACATTTCACCGGAGCTGATAGTGCCCCTTGTTGTACATGAATATATTTTAAACCAGGTATACACGCAATACAAACAAACTATAGCAGCATATTTGAACAGTGCTTACTAGTAATATTCAAGACTTAAGTAACATTTATAAAAGCTACAAAAACAATACACAATAAACTTTCACGTACGTACCTTGACTCAAACTGTTCCAAACTATACGAGGTGAATCTGGTTAGAGGCGTACGTGAGATAATGAATTTGCGAAATACATCAGCATTGTTCCGGTCCAAATGGTTTCTTTGTCTCACTGTCCAATCACTGACGATCCACGGCTTATGATGGTAGCATTGTCCGTAAGTAACGCAATTCTAGTCTTGCGCAAAGCCTGGCCGTTGTTTGCATGGGAACGATTTTTTTTTCTTTAAAGATACCGCAATCCAGTATACAATTAATAACAGGGACCGATATTTTTAGTCTAGGGTGCTAACAACCACCTAAGGCTAGATTAGGAAGTAGCGATAAATTTGAGAAATGTTTTACCTCGGAAATGCGATTTCCAAAATTTTCCAGAGGCTCCGAGAACATGTTACATGCAGTGAATCATCAAAATTTTAATTGTGAAAATAGCATATTATTGAATCTCAAAAAATTATTTGGATGCTACAGTTCCTGGTTTTGTCTGGGGCAACAGATGGTAACACTGAGACTACCTTCACACCGGGACGGTCAAGTTTGAGGACACCTCGGTTTTAGGACAGGGCCCACTCAATTCACACGGAACCGTCCACATTTCGGTACGGATTGAAGCAGTGTTCACACGGACCCGTTCATGCTTCGAAGGGACCCAAACCTGACCACTTTGCCAGCCTCAGATGAGGCCAGTTCCAGAGTCCCAGTGTGAACGCGCGCATAGAGAACGGTTCCGAACGGAACCGGAACCCGGCCCGTGTGACTCGTAGCACCTGACTTGGTCGTTTTTTTGGTTGGTTAGGTCGCGACAGAAAAACTGTAAATTAATTCCTATTAAAGGTCAGAAAAATAGTTTTAAAATCTTAGGTTTATTCTGGTATACGGTTTGAAAAAAATCAAGTTTAGGTTGGCGAATGTCGATGGTCGAACAGCGATTACACGAATGAAAGTAGCCATGGGTTTTGCTAGTTGAAAGGCAATAACGACTGATTTATACTGTAAGATGGTCTATGGTAAACACTGGCTACATTTAGTATGTATGATTGGTGAATCCAATAAGTGAAATTCTGTTTATCAAAACAGTGTAACCATAGTCCCTTTCGGTCGTGAAATCTCTTTTCGACAATCGCCGTTCTTCTTTCTCCCCGACAACGTTTTTTGAAATAGTGTATTTTAAAGCCGCCATCGGGAGTTTAGTGTTTTAATACGCCTTCTTAATTAAAATTCTCAATCTCGACATTCTCGGAAAAAAACTCGCAAGACTATTCGCCACCCCTATAAAATTATCACATGATCGTATATTAAAATCGTCAAATTTTGAAAATGATACTTCCGGTGATTCGAGATGTAATTGATGTCGACCGCTCATTCGCTTAATGTCTTGTGTCTTTCGACAGTTTTTCAGTGTGTCAGTGAAGTTTTCTCTTTGAAAATCTAGCCCTCTTCATAGTACTTGAGATTTCCTCACGAACTGAAATAGATGGCCTTTGTGGACGAACTAGACTATATCACAACTTGACGGAGGATTGCAAATTGTAGATAAAACACTGATTAATCAGATTGGAAGCTTCGATGGTGTTGACCAGTGTTTCACTACGACGCAAAGACAATCTGATTGAAAAAGGTAACGGACAATACTTTATTTGACCTCAGTTGCCGACAAAAAGTAGTTAGAAAGCATGGACTCCAACATTCTGAAAACTGGTTGTTATTACTTGAAATAATGAACTTTAATACTTCCTCTTCTCAGTCCATATCGAACATCAGACATTGGTGTGCAACTATGCACACAAAAAACGAAAGATACAGTAATTTGCGAATTCATTTGTTTTCTAGTATTGTCTAATCTAAACTATATTGCGCTAGAGCTTAGCACTATTTGGCTATTAGTCATATTTTTCAGTACAGAAAATCCATCATAACCGTGAAACAAAACGTGTCTAAAGTGTGTAGTCCATTTAGACCGGCACAAAAGAAAACAACGAAATAAGAGCGCACTAAGATTATTTCGTATTCTTTTGTGTCTATTTGACCATCACATTTTATCAGTTAGATTTTGTTTCATGGGTTTACGAGTAAGGTCAAAAAGTCCGTGAAATAGATATTACACTAGTGCACCTTTTCACGCTTATTAATCCATTAGAGTAAATTCAATAAACCTGTGAAACAGAACTTGACTATTAAAGTGTGATAGTCAAATTGACACAAAAGAAAACAATGCAATTAGAGCGAACTAAAGTGTCTTAGTGTAATATCCATTTCACGGTTTTAAGATGACCTCACTCTACTAATTATTATTAAATTATTATTATTATTATCATTCATATCATTCATTATCACATTAAACACTTAAAATGAAGAAAATATAAGACAAACTAAAAGAGAAAAAAGTTAGAATCAACTTTAATAACGTGGCAGTTTTCGCGTAAACGGAAACTACTAAAAGTTCGAGTTCAGTTTCACGCCCTTTCTTTAAGTCACGCGATTAATTTGAAGAGAATGCATTCGCGTGACTAGTAAAAACTGTAATTACGTAACACCTGCGTCTCAGTCACGCAAATTTCAAAAGTTTTCACAATTTTAACTCTTTTTCAGTTGAATCTCTTGAGTAATGCTTTCAAAATTCATTTCGTAATTTTAAACCAAAGCATGTTTATTCCATTAACTCTATAATTAGATAGCTGTTCAATTAGCATCATCACCTTACTCCGGACCGTACAATGACTAGGCTACACACAGATGCCACTGACATCGAGAAGGTCTGACTTGCCCTACCCTGCTCCACCCAGTATTAGTTATATTTTCCGGATCAGACAATCTTTGATGTGTTTGTTTGTAGTAGGATTCTAAAGGAATACAAAACACTAGCCTTTCACATTTGAAATAAGAGGGAAATCCCTGATTATAACTAGTCTCTGCCCTGCGGACTCTCAATTGATCCTACTGGAAGTCCCCTGGGATAGTACTCTATGAACAGAGGTACTTTTCTCACCCGCTTAAAAAGTACCTCTGTTCTCAGAGTACTCGGATAGTAGAAATGCAGTGTGTGTGTGTGAAGTTTTAGCAAATTTAAACTAAAGTGAACCCTTTTGAGCAGAATTGAATCATTAAATCAAATGCTTTATTAACAAAAGAGGATAATCCTTCATTTTCACAGAGCACTAAGGGTCGTCAGGCCTCATTAAAAACGAAATCTTTCAGTAAGCCAGAAGCGCAAAAACAAATGCTGTTTATCAAGCACTTCACTTTTCTTATAAAATGTCAAGCATGTGAAACACTTACGAGATCAAAGATAGAAATATTGTAATCCTGTGTTTTTTCAAGAGTGCATTCTTTGAGCTTACCAGTAAACACGGCCGGCCATATTACTTTAGGAAGAAGAGTGAATACAGCGTTCATTAGTGAAAGGTGAGCTTGTTCTAAGGCTGTCCACTTGTGAAAAAAGATAGTTTCATAACTTGTGATTCTCAGTAATTTGCGCTTTATAGTCTTTAATTTGCTTGGTATGTTTTTTGTGGAACTTAAAGTATTTTCGAAGTATATGACCTGTTTAGAACTTCTCCTAAGTTACAACTTAAATGATTTACTATGGATTTATGGTGTTTCATCGCGGTGGTCGGTTTGCTAACTTGTTGCTTCATCTCCCTGGCAAATTAAGAGAACTTTTATTGTGAAATTCCTGAAACGTTTTATCTTTAACCGCAATTGCCAACGATGTCATTGGTCAGTTGCAACTGAGAACCAATCCTTGAGTGAAGACGAATTCGACACTGATTTTCGGTTCTAGCCCTACTAAAAGCTGATGTCCGAGCTATACAACATGATACCATATATAGTACAAAGTGTTTATCCATTGTATAGTTGCAGTGTATCTGTTTTATCACAGATTGCGTATCAATATCGTGATATCGCCAAGCAGTCAAACATGAGCAATTCGGACTGCTTCCGATAACTCTTGCGTCAGCAAAAGGTCGATAACATGGCTTGATTAGTCATTGGATGAAATCTTGTGATATAGTCCAGGTCTCTTCCGTTCTTGTAATTGATTCTATAAGCTCTTTACACTATCTTTCTCGTGATACTCAATTTCTCCGCAAATATACCGCAAATATACCATTTTTTCAGTTCAAAAGTTCTACCTAAAACAAAATTGGGTTCCCTGTGGAACTAATAAGAAGAGCTAGACTGGGCTAGACTTAAAACATATTCGACTGCGCGTCAATTGTGGTATTTAGATTTTTCTAAAGTTGAATTGTTTTCAGAAAACAGGCTGTGTCGTAACATGCGCAACAAGAACTAAAGAAGGCAGAAGTTGAGTAAACTTTTTCAGGTTTAATTACGTTCAAAAAATGTTCAAACAACTACATCGAATTGAGTGTGCGTATCAGCAAGAAATACAGCTAAAATGAAAGTTTCGTTCAATGAAGGTTCGTGTACGTGTAGTAACCAAAGTGTTGTTGTATTTGTTTTAAATAAAACAATTCAACTTAAGCTCATATAATTAGGTAATCAATCAATATGAATAATCTACTCTGTAATTATATATTTTGTCCATGCGAAATCGAACTTTATACTGAAACGAGGAACTTTGCTTTCTATTGCAAACAAGAGGCAAACCACAAACTTGCGTCAAATTTCTGATATCCTCATTAATAAAACACATATTTTTATTGCTTAGATTTGTTAATTTGCAGTTTTAATCATAGTTAGTATGCTTTAATTCGCTGGATTTGTCATTGGTATTGTTTTGGTAATCCCAAGTGACTTACTCCTAAGTGATTGGACAATTGGACATAAATAACAAAGGGACCATTCGACCAGAAGTGTTCTGTTCCTGGCAATTACCATATTCACTAAGCTTTGTTTATCTTAAGAACTTCAAAAAAACTTCATTAGAGTAATTAACCTTGGACTTCGAGCCTTATTGAGTCAGTTGCTGAAGGTTTGGGCACAGCTTCTATAAGGTATAATGGTGTGTGTTTTGTTTTCGTATTTTTAGTGAAAGAAAAGCTCGATCAGCTCAACCATTTTAGCTGCTCGTCAAGCACGCACAGGCACTTTGTTTATGATAAGTTTTGAAGTGCGAAAAGCGCGATAATTTTCCTAATTTGCACGAGCAATTTAATTTTCCAAGACTAGACTTTTTACTATATTACTTTTTTTTACAAGAATTAAAGACATCAGCAAGCGCTGGTCTTTTTCTGTGTGAAACTAAGAGGTGAACCTGAGTGTCAGCGTGGTGTAGTTGCGTAATGTATTTCCGAATGCACTTCAATCTGTAACTACAAAAATGTCAAGGACATAACAACAAGCTGTTAAAGAAGTTTCAATGTTTTAATAGTTGAGAACAACAAAGAATTAGCAGGACGCCAGTTTATGTTAGCAAAGGTCATTTAGCATAATTAACAACAGCGGCTAAAAACAAACTTCGGTGTTTTAATTTCACACCCAAAAAACTACTTTTGCTTCTTCAATTTACTCTAATTGCTATACATTTTGCTTGAAAACTATTTAACAACCAGAACGATTTTCTATAATGTTTACTAGTTCTTAAAGACAACACAGAACTTCGACGGTTATCAAAAGTATCTATCATTAAACAACGCCATATTTTTTCAGCTTCTACATATGTTAAAATGTGATGCATATTAAGGAAAGACTTATCAAGCCCACTCTAAGGTCCTCTAATTCTAAAATGCTAGTTTTTTCCACTGAAGACAATTTAAAATCTAACTTCAACTTCTCAAAAAACCTAAGCAGTCTGTTAAGTTTATCTAGAAGTTTATCGACATGATGATTAAATTAACAATTTAACTGTTTTTCAATCTTTTTGGTTTCAGGCTATAAACATCGACCTCACGTATCCAAATCGACCTGGTTGCTAGATTCAAACGTAATGGAGCCAGACTTTCGAGTTCTTGATTTGCTCGGCGAAGGCTCTTTTGCCCAGGTCTTCAAATGCGTGGAGAAGAAGACAAAAGCTCCATTTGCCCTGAAGGAGTTCGACACGACAAAAGATGGCTACGAGAGAAATATTGTTCAACAAGAGATTAAGATATGGAAAGGCTTGGAACATGAAAACATTGTTAAATTGTATGCGAACTTCAGGAGTGGAAAATATCTTTATTTTGTCATGGAGTTTATGGAAGGAGGTAATTTGTTCAACGACATGATGGAGAGGCATAGATATAGTGAGAAAGAAGCAGCGAGTATTTTAAGACAGGTAAGTCAATGGAACGTTATGTGACGTATTAGTTATAAATGTTATCTTCTGCGTTGGGATTGTTTTTTATTAATTTATTGTCCATATATTTGTTTATTCATTCAAGCATTTATTAAACTATTTGTTTGTTTAATTTTTCTTGTATTCGTGTTGATTTACGTATTGATTTTGTTTCATATCAAATGGCGTTTCGAATAGTTCTACTAAAATTCGATTTAAGCCATCTCGCAAAATTTGGCCTTAACTTAGCACCCTTGGATTCCTTTCACTGTTTGCAAAATAGAAATGTGGAATTTCTCATGCAAACAACATTGAGTACTGCGCATTCTATCGCAGGGCCATCAGATACCATTTATTGACCTTTCATGTTTGCTGACAACAGGTCCTTGAGGCACTCCAGTATCTCCACTCCAAGCGAATAGTCCACAGAGACATAAAACCAGATAACATTCTCCTCCAATCAAAACGCTCCCCTGATTCACGACAGCCAATTATTGCAAAGATAGGTGACTTTGGATTCGCTGTAAGACTTCCTAAAGACTCTGACGTCATTCACTGTCAAGCCAAGGGAGCCCCAATGTTTTTAGCCCCTGAGACCATCCTCGAGGATCCTATTGGGTGTCCTGTTGATATCTGGTCATGTGGGGTGTTGCTGCATACAATGATTGTTGGCTATCCGCCATTTTGGGACGATAATAATGAAAAAATGCTCTTGTCGGCTGTTCGCGGGCAGTATTCGCTCAGCACCACATGTTGGAGAAAGGTTTCTTCATCTTGTAAAGACCTAGTCAAGAGGATGTTGTGTGTGTCGTCGTCACAAAGAGTTACAGCGTCGTCAGCGTTGAAGCACCCTTGGGTGTTTAAAATGTCCCTATCGTCACCATGCCCCCATCGAAAAGAACACAAATTTCTTTGTCAACAGACTTTAAGTACTAAACTAAAAAGCACTTTATCAAAGCTTCATGCGAGCATGGGGTGTACGCAAGCACTTGGTGTTAGTAAGTTCAAAGGGAAGTTCTTTCCGCTTCATCATTCGGCACATAATCTATCAACTCTATCGATATAAATGCAAGCAGCAAATCTTGGGTTGCGTGGAATAACGGAGGATGTGTATACTCAAGACAACAGTAAATTGCACACGGTCGACGCAAAATTGTCACAGCAACGCGCGACGATAAACAGTCCAGTTAAAATCAAGTTTAATAAATCCCTGAAAGCTTCCGCTCTTACGTTTTCTGTACAGAATCTTATGATGCAACAGTTGTATTTTTTGCTAGAAAAAAAATACTTATTAAAAATAATAGCAAAAGTGCATGGGTAGATTCTGTTTCCCATCATGCCTTCTTCTGGAAAATGAACGGTGCCCATTGTTATCAATATTGAACACCAATCAGAGGAGTTGCTTTTATCACGTGGTTAGGAATCATTTGACCTAGAATTGACTTGATTGGAAAAGTATTTATTAATGTTTCGTTATGCGAGTTTTTTTATGAACACTCGTTAGCCTTATCGATTCCCATAAACTCCATGTACGGTGTGTCGCGTGTTAACAATATCGCTTTCTTCTGAATGACGTCAGTAAATATATGATGTTCTATTATGTGCATGCTCCGCAACAGAATCAACCTCGTTTCCAGGACTTTTGGGCCTTCGCGCCTTTCCTGACTTAAAGCGAAGGGATAAAGGTCCTGGGAACGAGGTTGCAACAGCACTAGCTAGAGCTCGATAATAAACAAATGTGAAAATTATGAAGATTAATACGACATACTATCAAATAATTATCTTCGGAAACTTGGGGTTTTTTGAGTGTGCCGGGAACAATTTAAAAATGGGCGCGCCAGCAACGCCATTTTATGCAGTAAAGCGTGATGCTAGTTGTAGTCCACGTACTTGATGTCCGCTAAAACAATCCTTCTAAAATGTGCTTGCTTTTTATAAGCCGTTCTACAAAGTAAGCGTAAAAAAATGTCGCTTTCAAGGATATATTTTAGGGTCTATAATAAGTGTGAGGACTAGAACTACCATCATGCTCTGCGGAACAAATGGACAGCGTTGCTGCACATTGCATTGCCTATAGACCAAATCGGCTAACGCGTTGCTATATACGTTACCACCCAATTCAAATCCTGTGGGAAAAAGAAGTTTTGTTTCTAAGAATTCATCTGTGAAATGAAAATACAAAGAACAATGAAACTTACTCCCGGGTAGTTTGAATTGGGTGTAAATGTTTATAGCAAAGCGTTTAGCCCATTAGGTCGATTGCAAGAAATCGAATCAAGCAGTAGTCTTTTCCATTTCCGAGCAGGGTTACGAAGAATCGCAGAAAGTGTTCTGTACTTTTTGTACCGGCTTTGCACACAAAAAAATATTACATGTTATTAGATATTATACTTGTTGGCCATAATAATGTGGTGTTGTAACTGTTATGTTTTAGTTTCCTGACTCAGTGATGGATGACTTTTGTGCGTGACTAGACTGCGTCGCCCCCTTCTGGGTTTCTTCGGCCCAAACTCTCTAGGATTGGCTAGGAACTGGCTACATAGGGTTGCTATTACGCAACCTCATTCCCAGGAACTTCTCTACTCGCAAAATGGCGGACGCTCGTGCGAAGATCCTGGCAAATACTGAACTGTGACGAACTTTGATTGGCTCCTTAAAAATGTTTTTAACGAGCTTTCCGATTGGCCCCCCATTGGCTTGATAAAAAGAAATTGCACGAAATGGGTGACAACTTCGACCTGTGTTCAGATCGATTTCTAAGCAGCTGTTGACATTATTCTGGAGAATTTACATCATCCTTGGAGGTAATAATCAGAAGTCAAGCTTTTGTTATGCAAAAATGGAAAATGATCAGTATCAAGTTTTTTTGAGGTTTTTGAAAACTTTAAAAACTAACCCGTCTTAAAATAATCTAAAGTATAAGAAAGGAATGTCTCGATCTACAACTATTTGGACTGAGCTGCGATGAAGATTTTAATAAAAGACCATGGATTTTGAAAAAAGAGCGAGCCGAGAGACCCTGGGGACTAGATTGGCTATTACGTGACTTTTGATGTCTTCAAATTTATTTATATTCTAAATTTTGCATAGATTGGATAAAAATAATATTGGCCGGGCTGGTTTCCGGACAAGAAAGTTTCAAAAGAGATCAATAATATCAACATGGCCAAATAAAGCCTATCGATGACGTAAATACTGGGTGATTGATTTGCGACCAGGCCTGCATATGAATTCGCCAAGGTTGTAAGCCAGTGAGCCCGTGCATTTTTGTTAAGCGGTCATATCTGAAAGTGTAAATAAAGAAAGGGAAAACCCGCATCTCGCCTTTCACTCAGACAAACAGAACAAGTCGTGTTAAATTTACACAACTAAACAAAATGGTTATAGAATCAAACCTTTAAGAATTGAATGCTCACATGAAACATTTTCCACCTTAAATACACACGTGTTTTTCAGAWGGGAATTAAGTCGAACTTTTTTCACGATGGAATTTTGTTTTGAGTCGTTTCGACATAAACAGTCGCTATCAAGACATTACACGANCATGGGCCTTCTATTATTCTATGTTCATAAATCGATGTACTGAGAACGGGAATAAAGGGGAATTAAAGATTTAGATATACTAACTGTGCAAATATCGTTTATTTATTCATAAACTAGACGCTCAGTGAGCGCTCACATGGGCTTCCTTGTGCATTAGGTGACACTGGATCATTTTGATTTCACTGTAAATAATCATTTAGTCAGTATTTGCTGATCTCAGTAGTGTTGACATGCACAGCCAAAAGTTTTGTGGCTCATTTGTCATTGTCCCCTGGCTMTTGCATAACTGTAAGTATAGTTTACAACATGAGCGGCCGTGGACGCGAATGTTGTAAACGACTTATAAAACTCCAACACAAATTAACATGAATAACAGTGAGATAAATGACGAAAAATGACAAATAAGGTAACTGCTGAGTTTAGTCCCTATTAAGCATGCGCAATTTACTGCAACACAGAACATTTTGAATAATTATCCATCCCACATGGAAAGCGAGCAAGCCATCTGTTGCATAAGCGAGTTCTGTTATCTGTCTTTGATTGCTTCAAAACCTAGTGAAGGTCTATGAAGAAGAGATAACACAAGTGCTGAAACTGAGAACAGAGACATGTTTTGCACTTGTGGCAAAACTCACAAAACAGCTTACCCTAAATGTGTACAGGTAGAGGGGAAGAAGTATCCATGCAGATGTAAATGCTTTTTGAATGGACTTGCTTGTACTCTACAGTGCCAATGCAATGGATGTCAGAATTCTAATGGTGCCAGACCTCAAAGTGTCTCAAACAAGCATTCTAAGAAAAGGCAAAGGTTTCAGTATCATAGCCAAGTTGTGTTGGAATCGATTGAAAAGGGCCTAAATTACATGGTTGCAAACCAGGAGGTCCTCTCACTTGGTGCTTGGACTAAGACTGAGCACTTTTTATTTGAGGCAGTTATTTCCCATTTAAAAAGAACACAAGCACAAACTGAAATAACCCTGAATGATGTTCTCACCATATACAACAGAATCACTATCCGCTTGATACAACTCTCCCCAGTCCCTCTGTCCTTAAGCACCAAATCTGAACTGCAAGTGAAGTCTAAGATGCAAGTTCATGACAAAGTCCTTGTCAGATTTCAGGAAAAATATAAGCAGGTGATAAGTTCACTATTTACCATTTGAAGATTTCTTCACAATAATAATATTGAACTTTGTACGATTGCCTGAACTTATATAGAGATATATATCACGATAGAGGAACTGTCTTCCAGGTACTTATCAATTTGCCTACGTTATACATATATTAAAAACAATGCAAGTTATTAGTCAAGAGGCATTTCATAAAAAATTAAGTTTTTTTTTATCAGATTTATAAAAAATTATAGCCTAAGAAAAACTCAGATAAATGCATAAAATAAATCAAAGAAAGCTCCTGCAGTAAGAATATGACATAATAATAATAATCAATATATCATTTGATATCATGGAACAATATTGTTGTAGTTAAAAAAGTTTAATGACAGAACTTCAAAGTTATTATTGCACAGTACATTTCAATATTATTATTATTTTTTTTTTGGCCAATCTGACCATAGCATATTTTTGAATTAGTCTTGGTAACATTTGAATAAGACTTGCTGATCAACATCCACTTGCACTCCCTCAAATCCAAACAATTAAGGGTGTGTATCCGGTATGGAAAAATTTATATACAGTTGTAAAAGCAATTTGTAAATACATACAGTATTTATGTAGTATTATAATATTTAATCGGTATCGCCCAACATATAGGATAAAAATGTGTTTATTTCACTGTGAACAAGTTGTCTTTCAACAAAGCAGAAATGGTCAGTGTAAGAATTTCTAGATTTGTAATAGCTTTTGGCCATAAGTTGGAGCATACCAAAATAGTTACAGTTACAACAAAATATTTACATAATTTCAAAGCAATATATTGTATATTATTTTGTATATGACATTCTATTAATTTTGATCTTGTTTGGATAAAGGAATAAAGGAATGCGGTAGTTTTAATGCACAGTTTGAAGCATGACATAGCACTAAATCATGAAAATACTTTTGTTTGGTCTGATTAGTGCTATTTTGCATTATATTATTAGTACTATTTTATGCTTTAAGTGTGTGTTCACTCTAGATGACAAGTTATCTAA